TTAATGAGTCTTCCTCCAATCCTGATGCCACATTTTTCTTCATAGAACCCAGCTTCTCGTATTATTTGCTCAGCATACAGGTTGAACAAGTACGGCGAAAGAATACAACCCTGTCTCACACCTTTCCCAATTTTAAAACATTCAGTGTTCCCATGGTCTGTTCGAACAACTGCTTCTTGGTCTAGATACAGATTTCTCAGAAGTACAATTAAGTGTTCTGGAATACTCATACTTCTCAATGAGTATTCATACTTTTCAATGAGCAGCAGTGAGATGTGGAGAGTGAGTAGGAAAAAGAGGGCACGAGGGAACGGCTGAAGTACTCATGAGGAAGACTAAGGAGGAGCAGCAGAGGAGTAGTGGGTGAGGAAGAGCTGGTTCAGAGAAGACAAAGAACCAGAAAAGTTCAAGGATGAGGGAGTAGGCTGCAGGGTCCATGCAGCTGACAGGCCAGGAAAGAAAAGGACTGACAGGTGTGCATGATGAGGACAGAACAGGATGCAGAAGAGAAGGCCCACAGAGACCTCTCTTCTGGGAGTGCGGTAGTAGAAAGGACACAGGTAGCAGGGCTACCGGTCCAGGGAGGGCTGTTTAACAATGGGATGAGCCTGGGGGTATGTCTTAGAGATGGTGTTGCTGCTGCTGTGTGCCGTGGAGTCGGTTTTGACCCACAGTGACCCTGTACAGGGTTTCTGAGGCTGTAAATCTTTATGGGAGTAGAAAGCCTCATCTTTCTCCCATGGAACAGCTGGTAGTTTCAAACTGCTGACCTTGAAGTTCGCAGCCCAATACTTAACCATTACACTACCAGAGATGGTAAGAACCAACAAAGAGGGAGACACTGAAGATCAATGAAAGCAATGATGGGGAGGCCCGGGAGAACACATGTACTTCTTCCACTGGGACAAGAGGGATGGAGGGGAGGTTGTCTGTGGGTGGAGGCTTGGCTTCTAAGTTGAATGGACGGGAACTGATAGATCTCCTATGCATGGCTTCCATTTCCAGTACTCAAGAATGGGATCACAAGCTAAATGGGAAAGTGGTGGGGCCACAGAGATATTCAGAAATATGAAGAGGGCTTGAAATAACTATTACCCACCTTCCCTCCAACCTATCTCCTCAGAGGCTGTTGTAATAAAAAAAATGTCCACATTATTAAATATGCTATAAGAGTCAGTATGTTTTAAGAATGAACTACCTGGGTTATATACTAATTCCACTCTCTAACAACTGTGTGACCTTGGACTAGTTGCTTAACCTCTCTGAATCTCAGTTTCCTCATCTGTAATCTGCAAAATAAGGATAATTTAACAGTACCTTCCTGATATGTTTGGAGTTTTTTTGGAGTGGAGGGAAGGCTGGTTAAATTAAATACAAAGAGGCTAGAATAATCTCTGAAACAATAAATGCTATATACGTTTCAGCAGTAATGACAATAACAATTCTGAACATCAACCAACCTTATAAGGAAGATAAATCCTACTCCCATTGTTATAATTTGGCAAATTAAAGCACCTTTCTCTTTATCTGTCTGAATCCTCTAAATCTTGCCAGAATGACTTAGCTCATATTCCACGTTCTCTTTAGAGTTCTCACTGACCACCACTTACTTTCCTTCCTTTCTACTGTCCTGAAACACTAACAGTCTATACCTCTCGTGTGCAATGCGGCATGAACCCCAGGCCATTTTTAAGATTCAACCCACCTGATGATGATGCCGTCTTCACCCAGGGTCACGACAATGGCTTCCGTGGCTTGGAGAGATAGGAGTTTGGCAAGGGCTTCTGAGGTTTTGCTCTAAGAAATAACCCGAATAGAAACCTAAGCTTCTGAAAGTCCAACTGTTAATGTTAGGCCCACACCCACAAGGCTAGTGCTGGGCGTGGTTGGGAAATAGCCCCTGCAGGAAAGGTTCGCATGTCAAGTAAGTGCCATCCAGTTGGTTCTGCCTCACAGTGACCCTGAATAGGGTTTCCAAGGAATGGCTGGTGGGTTTGAACTACAGACCTACAGTACCACACCAGGATTCATAGCTGCCCCATTGTCAAAAGGTTCTAGCAGGATGGGATGACTTGGGTTTACCATACCAAATCTACAAGTGCCTGTGCCACTCAATCTGTCCTAGTTAAAAACCAAACACCAGTCTTCCCTTTAGGTCCTGATTCTCACTCTTTTACTGTTAGTGTTGTTCTTAAGTGCCATAGAGTCAATTCCTAGAGTTTCCTAGGAGTGGCTGGTGAACTCGAACCACAGACCTTGTGGTTCAAACTGACTTTGCGGTCATGTGCATTAACCCACAGCGCCACACCAGGATTCCTCACTCTTTGATAGGACATGTTAAAACAGTGGAGTGGACAAATTGCAGGGTGTTAAAAATGGCAAGGCTCTAGGTGGAAATACAGATTTCCAAACCAACAAGCAATATATATGGAGGCTTCAAAGTTCATGGATACTTCCATTTATCTTTTCACTCCATTTTTTCTATGACCTTTTTGAAGCCCTGTCATACTAAATGATACACTAAGAGACAATGTGAGCTCTGACCTGAAACCCAGGCTCCTTCACATTCAGTAATGCACCTGAAGAGAGGTTTTAGCAATGAACTGGATTAACAGGGATTTCAGAAGTAGCAACCAATGTGGAGATTAGTGATCAGAGCACCTAATTATATGCAGGTTTCGTATGTCTTTAAGGCTTTCTCTACTGTGAGTATCATTGGTAATTCTAAACACAGTGTTTGGATGATTTGAAATGTCTATTACTAAAGAAACAACTTTAAGCCTGAAGCTGTAGTTACCTTTGCCACGTGTTCTAGCCATCGCCCCAGGGCAATGAACACGAAGAGCATGGGGGGTGTGTCAAAGAATGTCACAGGGCTCCTGTCAGCCTTCTCGGCGATGGCCACCACCAGGATGACCAGGGAGTAGACATAGGCAATGGTTGTGGCCAGCACGATGAGCACGTCCATGTTGGCTGTCCTGTGTTTCAGAGACTTGTAGGCCTGGACGTAGAAATACCATCCACCGAGGAACTGGAAGACAGGAACAAGAGTAAATGCTGCTTATGAGCAAGGGACACAGCTCAACAGGCACTTGCTGTTGTTGATGAGTGCCGTCGAGTTGCTTCTGACTCATAGTGACCTTGTATAGGGTTGCTGAGGAGCGGCTGGCGAGTTTGAAGCTCCAACCTTGCAGTTCAAATAGATCTTGAGGTCCAGTGCTTTATCTGATGGAATACTCTAGGTTCTGCACAATTTTGACATTACTTTTTCCTCTGTAACTGATATTATGCGGGAGAAAGATGAGGCTTTCTGCTCCCGTAAAGATTTACTGCCTCAGAAATCCTGTTATAGGGTCGTTATGAGTCAGAGCCGACTCCACGGCACACAACAACAACTGATATTAAGAAATGTATTTCCTGATTCAGGAATGGATGGCCACAAGAATGGATGATTAAGAGCATGAGCAACCTTTAAAAACTAGATTACAGAACCCAACTATTCACCAATTGGAGAATGGTTAAATAAATTATGCTCCACTTTGTGCAGTGGATGTGCTATGCAGACATGAAGGAGGATACGCTAGATCTATAAACCATTGGGATGCAAGATGTCCGTTAACAGTGCGCGAATGAGCCAGTTACAAAATCAGCATGTCTACTAGGATCCCATTTCAGTTAAAAAAATGTCTGTGGGTATGTATTATGTGAATATGCATACACACACACAAATGTGTGTATTCTCCACTTAGATGATGATCTGGAAAGATATACACTCAATCCACAACTATTAGTAACACTGTGATAACCCTGGGGAAAAGGGGCTGGAGGGGAGACTAAGCTTAACGAAAAAATAGCTTCCCTTCTTCTGCTTACACTATGGCTTGAATTGTTTACAGTAAGTGTATACTGATTGCATTTGTAACTAAAAAGAAAACATATGAAAAATATTGAGACTATAAGTGCTCACCCCCAAATAATTGGACCACATTTCTGCCTTTCAAGAGAGCACGAATCCCAGAATGGTCCAGGTGCTACTTAATCAACATGGGTAAATTAGGCCAAATAATCAAATCAGAGGCAAACTCTGGTTCGTCAATCCTTCCAGGGAGTGTTCTGATCACCTGCAACCAATTCTGAAACCGACAGTGGAACCAGATCCTTCTTAGACCTCCATGTTAGACGGCTGGGTGTAGGTTGGGTGTAGGGCTGGAAGCTTCAATAAAAAATCACTTAGCCAAGCTACAGGCTGCATGTGGCACACAAGGACAGAGTATCAGTTGACTGCACACATGTGTGGGAGCAGAGGTCTGTTTATCTTCCATTTTAAGACCTACCTGGACAAAGGTACACAAGATGAAGAAGATGAGGTTTAGAATGGACAGTCCTGGGATGATGTTTTGGTCCAGAACCATAGTCTCATGAGGCTCATGGCTGGGAATTAGCATATAGATCATTAACCCCATCACAGGAATGCCGAACACCAAGCTGCATAAGAAAGACTTCTTCCATCTACAAACAAGCACAGTCACACAGACAGGGAGATACCGCTTTAATCTGGGTCACAAGCTAGGTTTGAGCCGTGCCTTTGTCACATGTCTGGGCAAGACCACCAAAAACTAAAACAAAGCTTTCTCCCTGGCACTGACCACTGCGGGAATTTCTATATCCAGCTATAAGGCTCTTCCAGTCCCTTGCCTTTATGCAGCTGATGAATGACTTCCAACGTGTTGGGAAGGTAACTGAACCCAGAGGCTGAGAATCTAACCCCAGAGAGGTTTAGCATCCTCAGTATATGGCTGGCTGCCTATACTCTTATTTCAAAATGCAAAATTTGATACGAGCAATATTCCATTTTAATACAATTACTACTAATAAAGCCAATAAAAACAGTGATGCTGTCTAGATGATGGCAAATTTTGAACTTGCGGGTCATGGGAGACAGCAATGGTCTTACAATGTCTTTAGCATTCATGAAATCCTAACAGACTGGCTATGAAGCTTCTAATGCACCTTAAACAAGGTAGGAAAACCACTGGTCTGCCAAGAGTCAAGTCCCATTCTTCTCAGGCTGATGCCCAAAACCCCAGGAGAATCAGCCCCTCGCCAATTTTCCAGATGGCTCTCCTGTCAGTACCACCTGACTCCAGGCATGTGCCAATCAGAGCAAACCACCTGGGTCCCTAGAGGCCTATGCCCACTCTGCCTCCATGTTCCTAGAGGACTCTCACTTCCACCCCTACTCCCTCAGCTGAGAAACTTCTGCTCATCCTTTGAGGGTCAGTCCATGCATTCCCTTCTCTGCTTGGATGTTTCCCTGACCTCCCCTTAGTCCACTTGAATCAGTAGTCATTGTTCACTCACTTGCCCCCAAACACACTAGTGGATGCTCTTAAGGCAGGGTCAACATTCTCTCATTCCTAACACCAACATAGTGCCTTGCACACAGTGGACACAAATGCTTGTTGAATGAACAAGTGAACTGAAATAATGAATGAAGCTAGGTCTCTTGTTTTTCAAGCCATTTACCAGGTCTTTCCACTTGGCCAAGATGTTTCTCTTCTAATACTAGTCCTAGAACTCACTCAAATACCTACTTATCCACCAGCCATATGTGGTTATTGAAATTAAAATCAAATTTTTAAAAAATTCAGTTTCTCAATCCCATCAGCCACATTTTAAATGCTCAGCAGCCACATGTGGCTAGTGGCAATGACATTGGACAGCTCATGGCATGAAGTTCTGTTGGACAGGACTACTCTAAAGGACAGGACAAGGGTAAAAGCAATCCAAGTGGAAGAAGCCTGGGACAGCCAGGGACAGACAGCAAGGCTGCAGGTAAGCGTGAAGGCATTTGAGCAGAAGGCATCTTCCAGTCAGGCTCATGGAAAAGAAAGCACTTATCAGCTTCAGTTTTACTTTTCTCTTCTACTTACTGTTTTATTTCCAGCTTGTGATCCAAGTGATGAGCGTGGGGGTCTCTTGGGGCCAAGGAAGCATGAAAGCCAATTTCCTTGTTATTAAAAAGAAAGGGGTGGGGAGCAAGGAGAAAGACACTTTGTTAAAACATTCATTGGAAGAAAGCATTTCACCAGCATCATGGTTATTTTTTTAAATAAGACAGTTAATACAGAATTGCCTCAGAAGACTAGACAGGCTATTCCTTTTTTGGGTCTTCTTTACCCAAATCACTGTATACACTGTTTGGAGGCTCAGCATGCATCTAAGCTTACTGTGAGATGGCTCTCAATGGTCATCTCTAGCCTCCGTTTGAAAAGGTACCAGGTTCTAGGGCAGTAACTTTACTGGATCCAAATATCAAATGATCTGAGTACGTTCATCCTATACACAAGTCAGAGAAGTTAAACAACATACCCAGAGTCACAGTGTTATCATAAGAGCTAGACCAACCCCCAGGTCTCTTGTGTTCTCCTCACCAGAGCAAAACTACTCCTGTGACATCTGGAGCCCTTGGCTCCCACTGTGACCTGACCGTGGATGTATGCAGTCTTGTGTTTTTGTTAGTAATTAACTTAAGCCCTTCTTTGAGCACCCCATCTTCCCTGCCATCTTTGACCTGATCACTAAGTTTCAAATAGGCTTTTGAAGATTCACCAGGAACTGTCCTGTCCATTAGGGTGAACTTCACAAGTCTGGCATCAGGCTTTAACATAAAAATAAAAGGTGGGGGAGGGGGCAAGGGAAAGTGCATCTAAAGCTACTTAAAGACAACTCCTCTCACAACCAATACTGGCCTATTCATATTGGGGAAAGATGCCCAGATACCTAAGACTGGAGTCAACACCACTTGAATAAGGACCCAGAAGATGCTGCACCGGGCTAAGTGGAGGCATATGAGGGCATGAAAGGGCAGCTGAGATGTGTTCAGAGTCAAAGCTACCACCACATGAAACTCTCCCCACGACTCATTCCATCAGTCTAGCTTCTGTGCCTCACCCCTATCACATATCACTGTTCTTTAAGATTTGTGGTGGAAAGAAAGGTTGTTGAAATTGGAATTACAACATCTGGATTTGAGCCCAAGTTCAGCCCCATTAGCTGTGTCCCACTGAGCAAAGTAACTGAACCTTTCTAAGTCTCTGCCCTCATTTGGTCAAGTAGCTGTGTTGTTTGCATCCAAGAATGAGGTCTTATACCATTATCATCATCAGCATCATACAAGGAGGCTTCAAAAAATTCATAGAAAAATTTATCCTTTAATTCTATTTTTCCACAAACTTTTTGAAGCCCCCCCCCTTGTACTTACATGCCCCAAATCTCTGCTGAGTCACACAACAGATAGTATCTCATTAAAAAAATAACACACACACAAACATATACAAGGAACAGAAAAATCAAGGACAGCATTAACCCTGCTACAAAGCTGCTTCATTTCATATGCAATTGAAGTTGTAGTTCCTAATATACTTATCTTGATATTATGAGCAGTTATAAGCTTATTTTGTTTAGTCTTGGCTGATTTTTAAACAGCCCACATGGATTACCACTAACATTCATTCTGTTATTGTTGTTACGTGCTGTCGAGTTGGTTCCGATTCATAGCGACCCTGTAGAGGGTTTCCGAAGAGCGGCTGGTGGGTGTGAAATGCTGGCCTTGTGGTTCAAACCACCACTGCAATCCACATCAGGACTCCCATTCTCTTATAGTCTGGTATAATACAGACCTTAAAACTAAATGGTATGTATGCGGACAAGCCATTTGAGGGAGCGAATAGGAGGTTGGTAGGGAGTGCATTGGAAACTATTCTAATTAATTTTCCAAAGCAAAAATTACAAATTATCCCATGGTAGCAAACTGTGGTACAATTATTCCAATAACAATACTCCATTGAGATATAAACAATACTTTAAAATTAGAATTGGGGCAATTGAGTCTTATGTGCAGATATCTTAGCTATATGATGCTTCTTACGGAATAGCTGGAATTAAAACTGTGATCATTTTTCTCATCTTTTTCTTATCTATTCACTGATTTTCCATAACCTCAGATGATGATATCTACTTAATTGACCTTTATTTGATGAGGAAAGTTGATGAAATTTAGGTGATTTTCATTCCTTTTGCTTAGCTCTATGTTCTCATTTTTCTACAATGATTATAATGATCATATTATGTGCTGAAAAACGACAAGCATAATTTAAAAATAAACAACTTACCTTAATAATTCTTACAATATCCCGTGGACCAATAATTTCAGGATCAAACTTAACATGGGCTTTGCTGGTGGCGAGGGCCACTGAAGCATAGGTGATCCCATCTGTCCTTGTGAGCTTCGACTCTATGTTGTGAACACAGGAAGCGCAGGTCATCCCTGTGATCTGTAACACACATGACAAAAAAAAAAAAAAAAAACCAGCCTGGGCATGGACCAGCCAAAGAAACATCAGGGAGTTCTGCTGTTCCCAAGATGTTACACTCCCACTTTCAAACTCCACCCTTAACATTCCCGGGAGTTTCAGGGACACAAATGCCATTCTTCCCACTAAAGACAGGAGACATAGCTCATCACTGAACAGGTGGCAGAAGACTGAGTCACCATGGGCTTGCATAAGCCACCTCTACCTGCTGTCTAGATTACCTCACCAGCAATGAGGGTTCCACATACAGAAAGGTCAGAAAAAGGCAGGACAGTACAAAGTGTACAGGTAGCCACCAACAGCCAGGCTGGGCTGGGCCCCAGGACGTATGTGGGAGTGAAGGTTGCAGAGTTGGTTGGGGCCACAGCATGAAGGCTCTTGCATACTCAGCTATAAAACATGTGTGCTAACAAAGACACTCTGCAGGAACCCACTCCAGTGAGGGGCACTGAAATGATGATGGAAACTGCACTTTAAAATGTGCGTCATAATGCCAGATGCACATATCAAGACTACCTGGAATCAGGGAGGAAGTAGAGAAAAATGCTTCTCTAACCACAACACACTTCCCTTGGCACAGAACCCAAGGGAAAGGTGAGGGGTTTACCTGCTGGCAAGGGGCTGTGCAGACAGACTGTATAAAGTGTACACCAATTTCAGTGATACTCTTAAACTCGCTTTTTCCTTTTGTAATAACAACAGGACTAATGATTGTAACAATAGGTATCATTTGTGAGTACTTACAATGTCCTAGGCTCACAACAACCCTGTGCCATATGTCTTGGTGAGTGAGGCCCTGTGAGGCTTAATAACTTGCTGAAAGTCACATGGACAGACAGCCATGCTCCAGAGCCCGTGTGCGCACAGGCTCTGCAAGGTGGGCAAGCTTCTCTGCAGTGACAGAGCCTTAATTTAAGCCCAGTGAAAACAAAGGGCTTGCTCTGCTTCTGTCATACCATGCTGTGTGGCTTGACATGAGAAAAAAAAAAATGGTGTGACTTGTGACCTGCCTGCTATTCCTGTAATATATTATGCCAATCATGTAATTCACTCCTCTGAGTATCAGTGGCCAGCATTTCCTAAAAGACTAATAAAATATAGACATATAAAATACCTGTGAGCATATTTCATATGATTATTGACACCTTTGAAGAAAAATTTCCACAACCAAGCTGAGCAGATAGTTGCCCATGTCTGCAACTGACGATTTGCAATGGGACCTGCTTGTAGCTGTGCCCTAACACAGGAACCATCAGAGCTAAGGATCTGCTGTACAAAGACCACCACTCATCATCACAAGCTCAGTGTGCAAACCCATGTGTCCTCAATACTTTTTCTTCAAACATTTACTTACCACTAATGTCAGTAACCAGACACATTAAGGAATTAAAAGACCTTTTTACCTTTTCAGAACAGTATTATTCAATTTCTGTGGGTTTCTTCTCATTCTGCTTTTATTTACACAAAAAGAACTTTGTACAGAAGTGCGTGCAAACATAGTATATCCTAAGTGCTAGAAATATCTGTTGTTTTCAACTATTTGTTGACATGGATAACAGTGGGTAGACAGGAAGCAAAGCCTGCCTTTCCCCACCCAACACACTGGGAACAGCAACCACATCAGGTGTGAGTCTCAAACTGAGTGTGCTGGGATACTTTGGTTACCTGAGCCCTTGAGTTAATGTCAACACTCTTTCTCTTCTTTAACGACTCCGACTACCATGCCAACTCCGACTACCATGCCAACTCCCCTCTCCTTATCTGGGAATACCTCCAGGTATCGTAGCTTCCTTTAGGCTTATGGACTATTATATTCCATCTCCCTCAGTCCAAGTTCCAGACAACCCACCATTTTAATTCCTCTTTGTCTAATAGTCCTGGGACCCTCCACAGAGCCCACAATTCACTCAGCAGCAGGCCCTACTATAACTTTGGACATAACTGACCTTCCTCACAAAACAAACAGGCCATTGTTGTTCGTATCAGAGGAAAACAAGAAAAAAACTAATATCACCAAACGGTATATTTAAGATGGTAGAAATTTGTCTATGGCCACACCACCCTGAACGCGCCTGATCTTGTCCGAAAATGGTAGCAGTTTACTGATCACAACAACCAAGGTTGCTAGTGGATGAACTGTCAGGAGCTAGTAGTCCTCTAATCCCAAAGTCCTCAAGCTTTCTATCCCAGCCAGTGTACTTACGATCAGCTCAATGTTGCCATCTGAGCCTCTGTAGTCTTCCATTACTGTTGCTTCAAAACCCAAATTGTCAATGAGCTGAGCTATCTCAAGTGGCTGGATGATTTCTGGGTTATATTTGACTTCTGCCTTTCCAGCCATCAAGGCAACTAGCACAGAGAGAATACCTGAAACACCAGGACACAGCTGTCACACTCTAGGCAAGGCCTCTGGGATAGCACACTTACCATAGTCTTACAAAGGAAAATACCTCTCCCGGAAGCCTCTAGAATAGCATCATTCTCTAACTTGGCTGCATATTTGGATCACCCAGGAAGTTTCTGACAACTACAATGCCTGGATCTCGACCCACACAAACAAAATAAATTAAGACTTGCTCAGGGTTGGAGACAGGCATCATTATTTCTTTAAAGCTGCTCAGGCGATTCCAATGTGTGCTCAAACTTTAGAACCAATGATGTTTCTCAAACTTTCATGGGCACATGAACCACCTGGGGATTTTGTGAGACTATTGACTCTGACTCAGTAGTTGACATCAATACTGCTGTTCCTGGGACATCACTTTGACTAGGGCTTCAGAAGACATGAAGGAGTATAGACACATCACCAGGAAGGGACAGGGAGAGGAGGACTCACTGCTGAGGGTCCCTGAGTTTCTGTTAAGGGTGGTGGGATACTCTGGAAAAGTATAGTGGTGAGAGTTGCACAACATGGTGAACATAATTAGTGCCACTGAAATACACTTGTAAAAACTGCTGGATTGAGCAATGTTTTGTTATATATATTTTTATCAGATTATAACAAAAAGAAAGAAGGCAAGGGCTATCATCTGTATCTATCAACTACTGTTACATTATAGATACTGATACTTACCTTTTCCTCTAGATACTTTCATACATGGGGAAAACACAACATTTCAAGAATAATTTTTCCTTATTCTTTTTCCATTTATAATGACTTTCAGGAAGGAAAAGAAACCCCACAAGCTATGTAATACTTAAACAAGTTTTTTTAAGGCCTAGTTTTTAAAAAAGCATCATTCAAAGACATGAAAGGAATGATGTATTTTCGAAAAGATGGCCTAAGGGAGGTAGAGGGATTTGAGTCAGTAACTGTAACATAAGACAACTTTATGAGTAATCAGATCATGGGCCACAAAGACACTTCTATGACACCTCAATTTGAGAATGTTCATTCTAGAGTTCCATACCAAAAATAAAACCTAGCCCACTGTCCTTGAGTTGATTCTGACTCCTAATGAACCTGACCTGCCCCATAGGGTTTACAAGGCTGCAATCTCTAGCAGTGGAACGCCACACCTTTCACCAGTAGAGCAGCTGCTGGGTTTAAATCACAGGCCTATTGATTAACTGTCAAGTATATACACTAGCACTGGGGCTCCTCTAGAGCTCCAGGAAGAAAATAAACATAGGGACAAGAGGTTAGAAAGAGGTGTCATTCCAATCTGAGGCTACTTCTAAGGGCCACTTCCAAGGGCCAGGGAGTCAGAGCAGGACGGCACATGGAACCACTGGGTTGAGGAAAGACGGAAATGACATAGGTGACAAGGCAGTCTTGGTGAGGGCATTTTACACTCAACAACAACAAAATAAAATTTAGAAGAAAACACACAAAGCTAAACATGGGAACAGGATTTTTAGTGCACTTTCAAGTTGACGAGCTAGTACTGGTGTGTCTGTGATATTTGATGGGTTACATTAACAGGACTATTTGAAATTGAAACTCCTCCACAAAATGTAGGTTACTTATATATCATAGTAAGGGACCGATGGGATTGTTGGAGAAAAACTGAATAAATACTAGGTCAAAAGAAATGAGGCATCTACATGTGGGATGTTACATGAACTTGAACTGGGTTTTCCATGGCTAATGTACTCAGAGAAATATGAAATACCTTAGAGAAGAGAATGTCAATTGCCCCAAAGCATAAAACACACATGCAAACGGCCATAAAATAAACTTTCTATCAGATTACCAGGGCTACTGACAAACACAGTTATCGGAGACTCAAAAGGGAACACACAGCAGTCTGGTTTGTGGATTCTAGTGTACAACAGACTATAGCAGCATTCCCAAGGTAACATGGACAGAGATCTCTCACCAGCTTCTTTCTGCAGATTCCTTTCTATGTTAGACACACAAGAGGCACAGTTCATGCCAGTGATCTGTAAGAAGCACTTCTGTGGCGCCACTGTTCCAGAAGATAGTGGTACGATGGATGAATGATCATGTTTGTGGTTTCGAGGGTGTCTCCTGGTATGGGGAGCCACCTCCGGTATGGATACAGGCATGCCACCTGTAGTTTGTGCCATAGAATTCCCAGCACTGTGGCCTTCAACATGGTTGCTAGAATGGTTTTCTAGGATAAAATATAAGAAATAATTCAAATGAGAAGAACAGATATTTCCCCCACCCCCCAGGATAGTAGATTCAACTCTGTGACACTTGTTTAATCCCTCCCTATTTTCCCTGTCCATCACCCATTTTCCGGATTCACCTATCTAACAATGCAAATATAATTTCATAAATATTCATGCTATTACAGATCATCCTATTCCGCCTTACTAATTTGACAAGTTGCTAGCAAGGACATATGGCCCAAATAAATTGTAAGCTTCTAGAGACTGGCGTCCTGGTGGATTAGACTACTAACTGCCAAGTTGGCAGTTCAAACCCACCAGTCATTTCTTGGAAACCCTATACAGGGTCACTATGAGTCGGAACTGACTCAACAGCACTTGATGACAACAGAGATTGCTAAAGAAAGTTAAAACAAAAAGGTCTTCAACAGTTCATTTTGGTATGACTCCTTGCTGAGAATTTGCATTTCCATCTTAGATACACTGAACTAGAATGGAATATCTTATCCCTTCTCACCTAGGGATCTTGGTTAAAACATAGATTCTGATTCAGTATATCTGGGGTAGAAATGCAAAATTTCAGCAAGAAGTTGAAGCAGAATGAACCAGTTTGAACCCCTGAAAACAAATAAAGAAAAACTCAAGTAAACCTAAGCTGTTGTTAAGTGTCATTGAGTTGGTTTTGACTCACAAAGACCCTGTGCAGGGTTTCCAAGAAGTGGCTGGTGGGTTTGAACCACCAATCATATGATTAGTTATTACCCTATAGTGCCACACTAGGGCCCATGCTAACACTAGCATGTAAACTGATTCAGATTTCTGGAAGACTATTTAATAACATGACAAACAGTACCCCAAACTGCTTGGTACTTAATAGAAGCTCAATAAGTGTTTGCTCATGAAATGGAATAAAAGCGTTTATACCTTTGACCCAGCAAGCATGCTTTCAAGTGCATGCACAAAGATTTAGCCTCAAAGAATCCATCGTGTTATTTACAACCAGGAGCCACCAACAACATGGGAATGATCCAAGAGGAAACTAAGTAAGTTATAATCGGTGCATACCCTGGGACTGTTAAATACGATGTACAGACATCTGCATAGGTCTGAAGGTATTTTTATAATGAACAGTAAGTAGGGCAAAAAGAGATGATAAAGTTGACCTCAGTTGTGTCACTGCGGTGTCCTGGTACTGACATTTTATTTGCGTTCCTGACCCACCTGCCCTGCTGCACAGCTGGCAGGATGGCCCACAAGCAGATTTACTACTCAGACAAATACTTCGATGATCACTATGAGAACCAGAATGTCATGTTACCCAGAGAACTTTCCAAACAAGTATCCAAAACCCATCTAATGTCTGAAGAGGAGTGGAGGAGACTAGGTGCTCAACAAAGTCTAAGCTGGGTGCACTACATGATTCATGAGCCAGAAATGTATATTCTTCTCTTTAGACGACCTCTTCCAAAAGATCAACAAAAATGAAACGTATCTGGGGATTGCCAATGAAATATTTTCCAAATTTAATTTATATATGGTAGTATTCAGTGACTACTTAAAAAATGTACAAATAATTCATCCATACCTGTGCATGAGCTATATTCTTCACAGCCACAGAGCGCAACTACAAGCAGATTGTTGTAAGGCATATAAACTTTCTTCTAGTCAGTTTTTCTCTTAAATGTAAGTGCCTGTTGAACTTTACCTTTTACTTTTGTTTAATAAAGTTTTTATGTTGCATTTAAAAAAAAAGAGATTTACACATTTGAAAAATTGTATATATGCTTTAGAAAAAGTCTAGAAGACCATATACAAAAATGTATACACATGGGTTATAAACCAATGTTAATAGGATATTTTTGGTCCTTTTCGCTTATTTGAAATCAACATTTTTTTTTCCTATAATAAACATGTGTTACTTTGTTACTTTAAAATTAATCTTAATTCTAAACTAATTTTCAATCTCACCCTTGGCATCTTAGTAAAGATAAATGCTAAGAGTAATCTTAGCATTTCCACTGTTAATAAAAAAATGTTGTTGTACTGTGGAGTTGGTTCTGACTCATAGTGATCCTGCTGTTGTTAATTGTTAAAACAACAGGAGCCCAAACTGCAGCCTACAAAGCCCTACCAGACTTGGTTCCTGCCTGCCCCAGCCTCCTTGGGAGTTCCGGAATCTACCATTCCATCCCTGCCTCCCATTTTCTCACTGCGCCCCCTCAGACCTCAGCCTGATTCACCCTTCTCATCATTCAGGTTCCTGCTCAATGTCACCTCCTCAGGGAGCCTGCCCTGACCATCCAACCTCCTGGTCTAAATTTTCTCCATTAGTACCACCTTCCTGAAACTGGATTCAAAGGTTTGCCAGTTTTTGTTCTGACTATAATTAAGCTCCTGAAGGGGCAGGTGCCCTGACCTGCAGACCGAGCCTGGCACATTGTAGGCTCTGCAATAAATATTAATTGAATAAAACAATAGATTTATTGAGCATTTACTATGTGCCATGCATTATACTATGTGTCCGTGTATTTAAGAAAGTTTCTATTATGCCCACATTGCAAATGATGAAACCAAGGCTAAGAACTGTTAAATAACTTGCTCAACTCTATGTGTTGGAATGATAGTTCTAAATTTCCAACTACCCCCTTTAAAATCTAAAGTCAGCATTTACAAATGCAACATTTTCACAAACCCTGGCTGCAGCTCTCTCTTGAGTTGTTTTGTTTCTGTCCCTGTTAAGTACCATTGAGTCAGTTCTGACCCACAGAAACCCTGTATAGGGTTTCTGAGGAGCAGCTGATGAACCCGAACCACTGACACTGCAGTTCAAACCAACTTTGCAGTCCAGCGCCACAGGTTTGAAAGCTAAGCTGTCGTCTCTCTTTTCCTCTTCTTCCCTTCTTACTGCACCTTAGCCAAATCTCAGCCTTGCCATTTCCTTGCTCTCAATGTTCTACTGGCTCTGGTTGTGGTTAGCACCAGTTGGACCATTCTGTCCCTTTCTCATCCACATGATGTTCCTTCCAGAGGATCAGTATTCGTAAAGTTTTGCTCAGTGTACACACATACTTAGAAGTCCTCAGGAGTCTCCAATTATTCTCCAAGGTAAAGACAAATGCTTCATTTAGCATTCAAGACACCTCACAGCTCCATCTGCCAAGTTCCCAACTAATTCAACAAACATTTATTGTCTATACCAAGTGTTCAGTTCAGTGGTGGAATCTCACCTTTCTGTGGGAGATCCAGCTTCTATTCCTTACCAAGTCACCTCATGTGCAGCTACTACCTATCTGCTGTGGAAGCTTAGGTGTTACTATGAACAGATTTCAGTGAAGCTTACAAACTAAAACAGATTAGGAAGAAAGGCCTGACATTTTATTTCTGAAAATCAGCCAATGAAAACCTGACAGATCATAATGGTCTGATCCTCAACCAATCAAGGTGATGCAGCAGGACCAGGCAGTATTTTATTCCATTGTGCACAGGGTTGCCATGAATTGAAAGCTACCTGACAGTTGCAAACCACCACCACGTGTTTGGCAATCTGCTGGGCATCAGGGAGACAGCAGCAATCATAAAAGAGAAAAGCTCCTGTCTGACTGGGAGGAATCAGACACAACATATAAATACATCACACATGACTATCATTGGTGGTAAGTGCTATGGAGAGAAAACAGGGATAAGAAGAAAGAACTGGAGCAGGAAGTGGATGGGGAAGGTCATGGTGGACTGCAATGAAAGAAATGGGGGAGCTGTGCAGGAAGGAAAACAAGAGCATTCCAACAGAGGAAGGGATCAGAAGCAGCTTCTAGACCACAGCAAGAACTTCTCCTTTTTTAAAATGGGGGGCGGGGGGAATTGGGATGTTTTTAGCAGAGTTAACAAGACCACTCTAAATATTGGCTGTGGAAAAGACTGTAGTAGGGTTGAAAGGTGGGAAGCATGGAGGCCAATTCTTCAGGGATCCAGGCGAGGGACGATGGTACTTACTGGCCTTATCTCCCATAGCTGATCTCCTAGGCACCACCCCAACCAAGACTGCTCCAAAACAGACCTGGTGATCCTCCACCTTCAGGTTTATGCATGTGCCCTCTGTCTGCAGTCTAGTACCCAGACCAATTCTGTCTGCTGGAATCCTATCCATTCTTCCCAGCCAGTGCCTTGCTACTACCTCTATCATCAAGTCGTTAGGAAACCCCACAGTTAGATGTTAGATTTTCTCCTGGTCTCCGGAATCCCCCAGGCACTTTATCTGCACCTTTCTGGTCTTCTTTATTTGAGCCTGCCTTGTAGGATACATCTCTGTGAACTACATATGGATAATGCCTGGCACTCGGCAGGCATATGTTGGGATGAGTGAAGGGTGCCCCTGAAACTGACAGTACCCATTTATAAGGACAGCGGTTGTGTTAGAGGTTTTTAAATCAGCCCTTGGCTCATGGTGCCCCGGCACACAATAGAAGAAAATGCTGCCCTATCCTATGCCATCACCATGATTGCATTGCTGTGATCCATGAGGTTTTCATGGGTAGATTTTCAGAAGTATATCACCAGGCTTTCCTTCCTGGTTAGTCTTAGTCTGGAAGCTCCAGTGAAACATATTCAGCATCATAGCAACACCTAAGCCTCCACTGACAGACAAGTGGCTGTGACTGCATGTGAGGGCACTGGCCAGGAATCGATCCTGGGTCTCTCACATGGAAGGTAAGACTCACTAGTGCCTTACCACAAGGGCACTAGCAGCATATTATATGTGACTGATGATGTTCTTTACACTATATTCATATATACATTCAGTCATTGACTCATTTTATCCACTTATTCATTCACAGATTCATTCAAAACATACTTACTACACAAAGCCATGTAGAGTTGCCTAGATGAAAGCCAGGTGGAAAATGCATTTTTAGTAATGTGGCTGACAGAAATCCAATGCCTGCTTCTTCAGTCTCTGCTTCATATCCCACCCTTCCCTCCTCCATTCTCTATCACGGGGGTC